GTTATTAGTTAGTCCCAGCAGGATGAAATCAGTCACGTCTTTATTATTCTTCATGGATGTGATTTGAGAATCACAAGATGCTCTGTGGCAAAGAAAAGGGACACAATGATGAGCAAAAGCCAGTTACACAGTAATTGAAGTGTACAAGCATTTTTTTTTTTTAAAGCAATACTTTGTTCTTCAATTATTCTCAATTTCTAAAGCAGGGGCTTAGCAGCACAATTTAGTGATAACTTATCTCCCGAGTAATACACTTTTGGATAGGAGGGGTCCTTACATTATCTTCCCAACTTCTAGATTTTGAATATGAGTAAACTGAGTTACAGGAAAGGCTATGGTCTAAGTTCATATGCCTGAAATGAATCTATCTCCTGTCTCATATCCTTTATTTAAAAAAAATATTTAGGTGTTCCTGGGTGTCTCAGTCGGTTAAGCGTCAGACTTCGGCTCAGGTCATGATCTTACGGTTTGTGGGCTCTGTGCTGACAGCTAGCTCAGAGCCTGGAGGCTGCTTCAGATTCTGTATATCCCTCTCACTCTGACTTTGCCTGTTCACTCTCTCTCTCTCAGAAATAAGTAAAATATTTAAAAAATTTTTTAAATTCAATTCTGAGAGAGAGACAGCAAGTGGGGAAGGAGCAGAGAGATGGGGACAGAGGATCTGAAGTGGGCTCTGTGCTGAAAGCAGCGAGCTTGATGTGGGGCTTGAACTCACAAACTGGAAGATCATAACTTGAGTCAAAGTCCAGCACTCAACCAACTGAGCCATCTAGGTGCCCTTTTTGTCTCCTCGCTTTTAAGTCTCACAGCTTACACTTTCACAGTACTCATGTACATATATATATGTATGTGTGTGTGTGTGTGTGTACACATACATACACACATACATATATAATTTAATCCTCTCATCAATCCTATTAGATTGATTAATTACTATATATATAATTATATAAGTATGTACGTATGTATATATATGTGTGTGTGTGTTTATATATCGATATACATAAATTGGTAACCAATACATCAAGTAATTTAGTTAAGGTTAGTTAGGTATTAATGGACAAAGCCAAGATTTAGATCCAATCAGAATAGTTCTCAACCTAAGTATTGTTAATGAATTTGAATTGATTTTAAATCAGTTTTAAATCTTAGATACCTCACACCGGTCAGAGTGGCTAAAATGAACAAATCAGAGAACTCTAGATGCTGGCGAGGATGTGGAGAAATGGGCACCCTCCTATAGTCTTGGTGGGAATGTAAACTGGTGCAGCCCCTCTGGAAAACAGTGTGAAGGTTCCTCAAAAAATTAACAATAGAACTCCCCTAGGACCCAGCAATAGCACTGCTAGGAATTTACCCAAGGGATATAGGAGTGCTGATGCATAGGGGCACATGTACCCCAATGTTCATAGCAGCACTTTCAACAATACCCAAAACATGGAAAGAGCCTAAGTGTCCCTCAACTGACGAATGGATCAAGAAGATGTGGTTTATCTATACAATGGAATACTACATGGCAATGAGAAAGAATGAAATCTGGCCATTTGTAGCAACATGGATGGAACTTGAGGGTGTTATACTGAGCGAAATACGTCAGGCAGAGTGGGACGGATATCATATGTTTGCACGTATAGGAGGATTAGGAGGAACTTAACGGAGGACTGTGGGGGAGAAGAAGGGGAAAAATAGTTGGGGAGAAGGAGGGAGGCAAACCATGAGAGAACAAACTTGAATGCTGAGAACAAACTGAGAGCTGATGGCAGTGGCAGGAGGGGACGGGGGGTGATGGGCATGGAGGAGAGCACTTGTGGGGATGAGCACTGGGTGTTACATGGAAACAAACTTTACAATAAACTATTTAAAATAATAATAATAATAAAAAAGAGATAATGACAAAAAAATTTTTTACATTTATTTATTTCTGAGAGACAGAGAGAGACAGAGAGAGAACAGGGAAGGGGTAGAGAGAGAAGGACACACAATATCTGAAGCAGGCTCCAGGCTCTGAGCAAGCTGTCACCAGAGAGCCCAATGTGGGGCTTGAACCCATGAACCGTGAAATCATGACCTAAGCCAAAGTTGAACACTCAACCGACTGAACCACCCAGGTGCCCGATCTACTCCTCTTTTACCTGTGGTCACATCTTTCTGATTTTCTCTTATAAGTGTATACGGTATGGTATTTCTTTTATTGGTCCACACATAAAATCTGGGATAAAATTCTTAAGTTAACCGTATATGCATAGTCCTTTTAGAGCATATATGGTTTGACTTTTGGAAGGTTCCAGGAATTAGGTTGTGAATGTCTTTACAGGCCATTATTCAGACTGCCACAGAGCTTTATTTAACATTCTGCACTGTTTTGAAAATTTCCTTAACTCTAAAATAGTTTTAAAGTTAAATAATTATTCAAAATAATAATTAGAGATGTTTTCAATAGGAGAAACTTCACCATAAACACAGAAGTGAATATTTATGTTATACTACATTGCCCCCAAATAGTAGCTTGAGAATACTAGTATATTCAACCAGTCTTACAAATACCAAAATAATAAAGCTTCCTAGGAGTCTTAGAGCAGAATTCAACTAAAGAGGTAAAAGATATTGGAGATAAATTTCTATTCTAATATAGTAATTAAATATTTACATTATTATTAGTAAAAACTAACAACAATCCATTTAACTCTGGGAAATTTCCTACTCCAATATGTGTGTATCTTCATGTGCACATGCATGTATTTCTGTTCATGGTCTCATTTGTTTTCCTATTTTATGTTTCTGCATTGACGTGGTAGAAAGAAATGTATGTAGAGTAAGTGTATAAACCCATATCCTTAATAATTTTTTGACAAGAAGGTCCCAAGATATCTTAACCCTTCTTGTTCAGCATTGTATTTAGGTATATATGTTTTTTTTTCAAGATAAGAGATATTGAATAAATAAGGATACAACTTCAGACTCTTAATTTCACTGTGGTCTTAATGAAACTAGATTACTGTACATTGTACAATGTTAAAAAATCACAATCTTAAAAATAATTTTGCCTCTGAAAGGAGCTTCATGACTGCACTCTTAACTTCTTTGTTCCTCAGGCTATAGACCACCGGGTTCAGCATGGGGATGATCATGGTGTAGAATACAGACGCCATTTTGTCTGTGTCCATGGAATGGCTGGAGCTGGGCTGTAAGTACATGAAGATGATAGTTCCATAAAAGATAGAGACTGCAGAGAAGTGAGAAGCTCAGGTGGATAAAGCCTTCTGATATCCTGCAGATGAGTGCATCTTTAGGAGGGTGATAAATATGAATATGTAGGAAATCAAGATAACCAGGAGAGCAAAAAAGATGTTGAAGCTCACTACATAAATAAGAACTAGCTCACTCACATGTCTGTCAGAGCAAGAAAGAACCATGACTGCAGGAACATCACAGAAAAAATGATGAATCACATTGGACATACAAAAGGAGAGGCTGAACGTGTCTCCAGTGTGGATAGAGGCATTCAGGAAACCACAGATGTAGGAGCCTATGGTCAGAGATGCACACACACCTGTTGTCATGGTGGTGGTGTAATTGAGGGGTTTGCACACTGCTGCATAGCGGTCATAGGCCATTGAGGCCAACAGGTAATTTTCCACAGTGGCAAAGCCTGCAAAAAAGAACATCTGAGCAGCACATGCATTGTAGGAGATGACCTTGTCTGCCATTAGTAATCCAGCCATGACTGTGGGAGTGACAGCTGTAGAGTAGCAAAGGTCCACCAGAGACAGGTTACTGAGGAAAAGGTACATGGGAGTGTGGAGGCGAGAGTCCAACAGAATCAACACCATTATCCCCAGGTTTCCGACCAGAGTGATGAGATAGATGAGGGTGAACATGATAAAGAGGGGAACCTGCAGGCCTGGATCACTGGTTAGTCCCAGCAGGATGAACTGTGTCACTTCTGTCCTGTTATCCATCAATGTTGAGAACCACAAATGCTCTGTGGCGATGAGAAGAAAGAAATGGGTGATAAACAGAGACTTATATTGAAAAGTGTACATGCAGATGTGTTATTTCATTAGAGCAGTAGTTTGTATTTCAAGATTCTCCAGATAAAAGAAATTAGCTTGACCACAAAAGTTAGTGCATTAGTGCTGTATACATTTGCAAACTATTGAATCTGAAGTATGGACCATCTCCTCAATTCTAAAATTTTAGAAAAGTGTAAAGTGAGATGTACAGAATTAAGTAACTTGATCAAGATGGCTTTTCCAATATGAATGTCTGGCAGTTCATTTTCTCCAAACTTAGTGGAAGCAGACACTTGCACATTACCCACCTTCCAGGAATTGCTGCAGACACTATAGAGGTACAGACAGTTCCCAACTTATGATGGTTTGATTTAACAATTTTTCAACCTTACGATGGTGCAAAAAGTGACACATGTGCAAGAGAAACCATACTTCAGATGGTTAATTTCCCAGGTTAGTGACACCTGGTATAATCATGTCTCCTGGTGCGGGACAGGGGCAGTGAGCCAAGCTCCAGGTCAGCCAGGCGATCTGAGGATCAACAACTGATGTACCTACAGCCATCCTGTGTCAACACAGGCATTCTGTATTTCACTTTCAGTACCACATTCAATAAATTACATGAGATTTTCAATACTGTATTATTAAATAGCCTTTGTGTGAGATGATTTTTGCTCAACTGAACTCTAATATAAGTGCTAAGAATATGTTTAAGGTAGAAAAGGCTAGGTACAATATCCAGTAGGTCAGATGTAGTTAATTTTCTCTTTTATTTAAAAGGACTATATATTGTGTGATCTTATTTTTTTAGAGTTTTATTTATTTAAGTCATCTCTACACCCAACATGGTACTCTAATTCACACTCCCGAGATCAGGAATCTCATGCTCTTACAATCAAGCCTTCTGGGCATCCCAATGAATTTTCATCATATGATATTTTCAATGTACAATGGGTTTGTTGGGACATAATCCCATTGTAAGTACAAGAAGTTTTGTTTATTCATTACAACTTCTCAAGAACATTATGAGTTTTATTTGTTATTCCATGCATTTAAATTATGATACACAGAGGGGTGTCTGGCTGGCTCAGTTGGTAGAGCCTGTGCCTCTTACTCTCAGGGTTGTGAGTTTGAGCCTCTTGGTGTAGAGATGACTTAAAAAAATCTTTTTTAAAAAGTGGAAGAAAAGTAAATTATGATGCACAGAGGTTGAATGATTTTTATATTTAAAATGAGTATTAATTGATAAGTATGTGTTGAGCCCAAGTCAACCTTTGAACCCACCCTGTGTGGTCCTTAAGGTGATAGTCTATGTTAAAATCAAATTGAATTGAACTCAGTACAATTGTTAATTGTTTCCATTGGTCCAAATTCATTATTTGAGGTTCCTCAGTGTAGTATCAACAGACACATACATAGCGCACGCGGTGGACTAGCTGCAGCCTGAGAGGGTGGGACACCCAGCAGACGCTATCTGAGGGGAAGGCACAGAATCCTGTGTAGAGCTTGGACTCTAGGATGAGGTGCATAAAATCCTTATAACACTTACTGACTAGGACTCATGAATCGTAACCTAACTTACTTGAGCTTCCTATTTCCACCTGCAAACCAATATGACAATAATGAGACCACATTATAAGAATTATGAGCCTTAATTCTTATTAGAATTAAATGAGGTAATGCTTAAAAATACAGTAAAATATGGGTGTTTCCACAATCTGATGGGATATAATATTATTATGAGGATGGGCTCATTGTCTTTATGTTGCACTGGGAAAAATGAGTGGTGACCTAGAAGGCTTAAGGCATGCCTGATGTAAGAAGGGTCTTCAATTTGCCTTTTCTCACACACTAGGGCCTTGGAGATTTTCTGTGATCTCCGGGGTTTCTGTCTGTCTTTGCTTTATCCACATGATCAGCTGTCCCAACAGTTTCACACAAGCCTTCTTGTGCTTCGTTTCTTCCTTGAGATCCATACAATACCTTGGATGAGAGTCCATGGCTAAGTCACTCTGTCTCTCATGACTGCCATCTCATAGCAGAATCAGAGGTCAAGTGTTAATGGTTCCTTGTCTGGGGCCTCTCTTCAACCTGTAGATCTGTTTTGGTGGCAAGTACCATATTGTAAAATATTTCATTTGAATCTGTTCTTCCATAGGAGCAGGATTGTAAATTTCTTTACATGAACCTGAAGCCTTGGAAGGGCATCCCCCTTCTGCTATTAACATCTTCCTCCTAAACTTTGGCAATTTCCCTGTACAGGCCTGTCCCGTACAGATATTGTTTGCTAACCTTAACACACGTGTCCACTTGGAGACTATACTATGTTTTATAAGCAATAATATAGGCTTTATATGTAAATATGTGTGTGTATACAGTAAGTAGTTTTATTATCCCTCTTTCACCATTGTGAAATGTGAGGATTTGAGAAGCTATGTGATGCTCTAAAATACACAGCTAGCATGGGAAAAAGTCAAGATTCAAGAGTTACATCCACTTTCCGTGTAATCAAACGGCTCTGCTTTTAGCCATTCGCTGTCAACATATGTGGATGTATTGGTGACAATAAGCTTGAGATTATAGGAGAGAGTTTAAAATATGATTTGGGGGGCGCCTGGGTGGCTTAGTCGGTTAAGCGTCCGACTTTCGCTTGGGTCATGATCTCGCAGTTCGAGCCCTGCGTCGGGCTCTGTGCTGACTGCCAGCTCAGAGCCTGGAGCCTGTTTCAGCCTGTGACTCCCTCTCTCTCTGACCCTCCCCTGCTCACGCTGTCTCTCTCTCTCTCCTAAAAATAAATAAAACATTTAAAAATAAATAAATAAAATATGATTTGGATCTTGTTAATTCATGTTAGAAATTGTGTAGTTTAAAGATTATTTCACTCTTGCTCTTGTTTCTTTATGTCCAATGAGAGGCCAGCTTTGGGTGAACAGAATGAAATAGGCACTTGATCAATTAGAGAATCATCTGTGGCTGTTTTGTTCATATCTTTAGCAAAGCAGGACGATGTTCCTTAAGTATCAGCAAACTCCTTTCTGACGGACATTTTGACATTTAATCCCTTCTCCCCTCTGTATTTTGGAAAAACATGGAACATATCTATTTCTGTTCCCAAATAACTCAAAGTAAGCAGAGCTGCCCTACTGCTTTTGCATGAATTATACTTCTCATTCAAAAGCTTTATGGAATATGCATGCTTACCTGTCTGCTGGGTGAGCAGGAAGAGACAATGCTGAGTAGTGGGTCTGAATCAGAATCTCAGCTGTAGAGTAACGCATAAATCCTACTAAAGGAGCTCTCTCAGGACATGGTCATAAGCTCCAAGATCTCTAAGCAGGGAAAATGGAGGAAAGAACATTAACATGGTTCAAATTTTGAACTTATGCATTCTTTCTGTATCCTTAGAAGAATCACTTACTTCCTCTTTATTTATAAAATAAAGATGATAAGATTACCTCTTACATAATTCACAGACTTGTGTCTATCTGTAAATAACAAGAAGGGAGGGTCTGTAAAACATCTCAATAAGAAAGTATCATTTTTAAACTCAGTCGGTGTAACTTTTATCTCGAGGTGTTTCCCCTGAATATGGTTGTAGGCTTATAGAGAATTCCACGATAAGGCCTCTGTGCACTAGCAAGTTTAACGTTCAGATGAATAAATGATCATCAAATGGGTTCAGGATGTAGACTGATCCCTCTACAATGATGTCATGTAGAGTCATATTGGGATTTCAATGGCTAATGCATGGGGGATGTGGAGAGAATTATAGAGACACAGAACTTCTCTGTTAATTTCCCCTGGGAGAACATTTCTAACACCTCATCCCACCTTCTCAGGATAGAAATAATTAAACTGCCTGTGGGGGCCATGCTTGTAATTTTCACTGAACACACATATTTTTGTATTACTTGTTATTTCTTGTTTTTTTTTTTCAGTTTATAATTATGTATTATTTTTCATACAATAATATTCACAGTTCCAGTGGGTAGTTGTAAGATTCTGTCAAATTTATGACAAGTAAGCATTAGCAACTAAAGAAATTCATAGGAACTTCTTTTGGTAAGCCCATTCTCCTATCCACTGTCCCTGGCAACCTATAAACTGTTTTGTCTAAATAAATTTGACTTGGCAAGCGTGTCCTAACTGTAATTCTAAACTATGGACTCTTTGAGCCTATAATTTTTCACTTAGCATTTGAGACCAGTCCGTGTAGTTACCTATGACAAAGGGTAAAGTAGTATTTCACTGTATGGTCATTACTGATTGTTTATCCCATTCTTCAGCTGAGGTATATTTGTGTTGGTTCTAGTGTTTGGTGATTATGAATAAAGATGATCTATGAATAAACATTTTTCCGAAGAAGATGTATAGATGGCCAACAGACACAAGAAAAGATGTTTAATGCCACTTATCATCAGGGAAATACAAGTCAAAGCTACAATGAGATACTACCTCATAGCTGTCAGAATGGCTAAAAGTAACAACACAGGAAACAACAGGTATTGGTGAGGATGTGGAGAGAGGGGAACCCTCTTACACTGTTCCCACCAACAGTGTAAACTGGTGCAAACTGGTGCAGCCACTCTGCAAAACAGTATGGAGTTTCCTCAAAAAGTTAAAAATAGAACTACCCTATGATCCAGAATCGTACTACTGGGTATTTACCCAAAGATTACAAAATACTAATTCAAAAGGGCACATGAACACCAATGTTTACAGCAGCCTTATCAACAATAGCCAAATTATGAAAAGAGCCCAAGTGTCCATTGACTGGTGAATGGATAAAGAAGATGTGGGATATATATACAATAGAATATTACTCAGCCATCAAAAAGAATGAAATCTTTCCATTTGCAATGATGCAGATGGAGCTAGAGTGTATTATGCTAAGCAAAATAAGTCAGTCAGAGAAATACAAATACCATATGATTTCATTCATATGTGGGATTTAAGAAATAAAACATGAACACAAGAGAAAAAGAGAGAGAGGTAAACCATAAAACAGATTCTTAACTATAGAGAAAAACTGATGGCTGCTGGAGGGAGGTGGGGGGTGGATGGGCTAAATGGGTGATGGGTATTAAGGAGTGCATGTGTTGTGATGAATACTGGGTGTTTTATGTAAGTGATGAATCACTAAATTCTACTCCTGCAACTAATATCACACTACATGCTAACTAACTGGAATTTAAATAAATACTCAAAACAGAAACAAACAAAAAACATGATCTAAATATTTATCTAAAGTTTTTTTCAATGAAAAAACATTTTATTTCTTATTGAAGTATAGGTAGTACACAATAATACATTAGTTTCATACCTACAACAGAGTGATTTGACAGCTCTACACATTCTGCTTTGCTACAACTTTAGCTCCCATCTGTCACCATGCAACACTGGTAACACTATTTACAATACCATTGACTATATTCCCTCTGCTGTAGCTTCATCCTCCTGACTTATTCATTCCATAATTGGAAGTCTATATCTCCCATTTCCCCTTCACTCATTTTCCCTTTCCCCACATGTCTCCCCTGAGGTAGCCATCAGTGTGTTCTCTGAATTTATGGGTCTGTTTCAGCTTTTTGTTTGTATGTAACCTCTCTCTGGTGGACTGTGTTTACTTCTCAGCTGTACTCCCAAGGTGACAGCTGGGTTTCTCACAGAGTAGATAAAGTCAACTCTTATGGTAAATGTGGTGCTCAGATGTTCTTCTTTGTGGCTTTTGCCAGCGTGGACTGTTTCCTGGTAGCTGTCATGGCTTATGATAGGCATGCAGCAGTATGTAAGCCTTTACATTATACCACCACTGTGATTACTAGCTTGTGTGATGAAATGGCAGCAGGCTACTATGTCTGGGGTCATCCACACTGGATTCACCTTCTGCCTCTTCTTCTGCCATTCCGCTGTGGCCCATCACTTTTTCTGTGATATCTCCCCAATCTAGGCTCTTTCTTGCTGTGACATATGTATAAATTAGATTGGGCTCTTTATCTTAGTAGATTTCTAAGTTTGTTTTGTCCTGATAGTAATCTTGACCTCCTATCTGTACTTATTCATTGCCACCCTGAGCAAGCATTCAGCCTAGCGACGGATGAAAGCCTTCTCCACCTGTGCCTCACACCTCACTGCAGTCACCCTCTTCTATGGAACAGTCATGTTTATGTACTTATAATCCAGTTCTAGTCATTCTATGGACAATGACCAAATGGCATCTGTGTTCTATACAACTATAGTCCTCATGTTGAACTCTATTGTCTGTAGTCTAAAGAATAAAGAGGTGAATAATGCCTTCAGGAAAGCCACTAAGAAGATGAAGATTCTGTTCAACCCATAAGTTAATTAGAGACATTATGAAACTGAATAGCTAATCAGTTATCTATTGTTGTATAGCAAAATAGCACAATGCCTAGTGGCTTAAAACAGTAGTTTATTATTATTTCTCGTAATTCTGTTGTTGGTGAGGCAGTTCTTTGTTGCTTTCACATGGGCTCATTCATGAGGTTGTGTGCCTTCTGCATGGTCAGCTGAGCTGAAATGTTCAAAGATGACCTTACTCAAATATTTTTAACTGTTGATTCTGGTTATGCTCTACCTCTTCTTCACATGCTCTTTCATCCTGGACCGGCTTTCTTACATAATATTCTTAGTGTAAAAATAAAACAGAATGGTTCTCAAAATACAGACTCCTACCTCGCACATTTCCTTTTTCATATTATACTAATCAGTGGTGTCAAAAGGCTGGCACCAACGCAAGCATGAAGAAAGACTCCACCTCTTGAAGAAAATAGCTGCAAAGAATTTGTGCCCGTAGTTAATCTACTACAATTAGGAATTAGGTTAAACTACTGTAACTAAGAAAGCCAAACTACAGTGGCTTAAATACAATAGCAATTTGTTCTCAAATAGTGAACACTAATGCAGCAGGATAAATATTAATTATCTTGACATGGTGTGTCTTGTCATTCTGGGGCCACGCTCAGTCCACATAGTCTCTCTCTACCATCTCCTAGAATATTGAAAGTCTTTCTTCATCATAACTATTTTATCTGCAGGAAGGGAGGAAGAGATGAATTGAAAGAAAAATAATTTCTTTTCAAGAAAGTGATATAGTAACTGTATACAATACTTCTGAGTACATTCCACTGGCAAGAATTCAGTCATAAGGCCACAAAAATGACCTGCAAAGCTAGCTTCAAAATTTAATCTTTAGCTGAAAGTTAACATACTTAGCTAAATTACAATATTTTGGAAGAAGGAAAGAATGTTGTTTGAGGAAAACCAGCATTCTGCTACACAACCGAATGGTTAGTCTTGTCTCCAAAACTGGGTCTCAGGCTTGTTTTCGTCCTTAGTGTAATGTCTTTTCCTAGACCTCACGTTGCTTTATTAAGAGCCCTTTTCTTGACCACACCATCTAAAATAGCTTTTTATTTCTTATCTGCTCTTATTTTTTTCATAATTTAAAATAAATCTGTGAAATTATATTTTATTTGTTCGATTGCTTTTTTTTTGTTTCTTCCAAATCATATATAGTATTTTTTTATTCCTCCAAGTTGGCCAGATTGGTTTTACTATGTTTGAAATAATGAGATGACATAAAATGATGATGTATTGGATGTGGACTGTGAGGAAAATGGTAGCCTAGCTGTCTAAGCAACTAGAAAGACTACTATGTGAGGTGTGGCAGGCATGATAGCAGGAGTTTGGGTGAGAAGAGGGCATGAATTTCACTTGGAGCAAACTAAACTTGAAATGCCTCTCAGATACCACCAGGAAAGGTTTAGGATTGGAATTGTATAAACCTAGAATTTTCACCATGAGAATGAGAACATAGGTAAAAGAGTATAGGTGGAGAGAAGCAAAGTGCTTCAAAGACTAACATCTGGAATCTTCTCAATAAAATATCAGCAAGATGAGGAGACAGCAAAGATGTCCTGGGAACCGAGTGGTGAGAAATATGTCAAGAAGGAATGGATATGTCGAATCTGCTGGTAGGTCAAGCAATGTCAAGATTTAGAACTGGCAATAGGTCATAGTGATATGAAGTTGGTGGGTGACTTTGTGTGGTTGTGGTTGGATGGTGGGGTTACAAATCTCATAAATGTATCCTCTACAAACTAGTTTATGATTAGTCTTTGCCTTACATAGTTTTTAAGTATTTTCCCAACTTGCATGAAGTAAATGCATGTTGTCTTTTCTCACAGCAGCTAGAGAGATAGGGCCTTGAGACTTTTGACTTTGAGAAGAGAGAAGATGGGCAGAACCTAACAACATGGTACGAAGCCAAGGTTTCAGGAGAGAGATGACTGGGAAGAGATGTTTGACAGTAGGTGATGCTTCATGAGCCTGAGGGTCAGTTATATAGAATATTTAGCTTGCAGCAGTTATCGTTCTGGGCTTCACTTCCCTTCCATTTTGTCTGAGTACAAGGTTATTGTGTATTTTGTTCTCTGGAAGAATGAAAGAGAATGAGTGGTTTATGTCACCCTGGGGAAAATAGTGTAGAGACAGGGAGAGAGGAGGCACAGGAAGTGGTGTGGTGCTTGAAGTGATGAACAAGTGAGACAAAGGCAAGGACTTGGAACAGGAACCGAGGGACTGAAAGAGAACTTATGTGCACACAATCC